GTAGTAGTAGTAGTAGTAGTAGTAGTAGTAGTAGTAGTAGTAGAGAGTAGTAGTAGTAGTAGTAGTAGTAGTAGTAGTAGTAGTAGTAGTAGTAGTAGTAGTAGTAGTAGTAGTAGTAGTAGTAGTAGTAGTAGTAGTAGTAGAGAGAGAGAGAGAGAGAGAGAGAGAGAGAGAGAGGTATGTGACTGAGAAGCTAATATACACTTAGGTTCAGTAATAAAATTGCCATCTCTGCCAAAACAAAGTAGCAAAAAGTCTGTTTTTGACTAATTGGCCAGGGGTTTAACCTGAGAGTGGGACAAGGTAGATATAAGGAAGAGGAAATAGCTAATGCCATAAACTCTAGCATATAGGTTCAGATTGATGTTTGCACAAATAAAGGTTTTCAGACGAAACAGAATAATACAACGTCTGGACTTTTGAAACCACATCATGGTGAGTTCTAAGCGAGATTTGGTAACTATACAAAGTAAAACTAGATGCATGATAGTGGAATGGGAAAAGAAAATATAAAACTCTTATTATGATTCCAAATACGTGGGGATTCATTCTAAATGCCTTTCTCATGGGTATTGACACTAAGTCTACTTATTTGAAATCATGACCAACCATTTTAAATTTCTGATTAGGACGGAAGTTGAATGAATATAAAAGAATGTGACTTACAATACATACAAATTACACTAGATTTTTATACATGAAAAACTAGAGAAGCTCAATCGACTATTGAGTCCCATCATCTTGATTATTAATGATCTGCCATGATGATTTTGTCATCTAAACTATAAATAGTTGTATTAGTCCAAGAGGCACACAACTTCAACTATACACATAATGCTCAACGAAAGCACATTCAGCTATTGGCCTATATGTTTTGGTGGAATTAACAAACACCTTGATTGAAAGGCATCATAAACAAGAATAGAAATAGACAAGCAAAACAAAATTACCATAAGAAAACAACCGTATATGCCACCCCTGACAAATGAGGTAAAAGATGTTAATATGGAAGCAAAAAGAAAATGATCAATCGGCAGATGCTTGATTCAAAGCCGTGTGTGAAAACTTGAACTCATTCTCCCCACAGAGAGAGTAAAAAACTGAGTCAACTTACCCAAGTTTTGAACATTTTGGGCAAAACTCAGCCCCTTCCTCAATTTTGGGACAAAAGAGGTTTATCTAAATATAGAATTGGAACTTCAGCCCAAGCCCAAAATAGCAACACATACAGCCACAAAAATCATGTATCTAAGTTTAAAATTGAAAATTTTGGTATAACCTTGAGCTTTTTATAATATACACTCGTTCATATGCGAAAACACACAAGTCAATCAATATGATTAGGATTGAACAACATTAGCACGGATTCAGACCATAACAACAGTAACAAGACAATCATAGATTATCCTAATGTTTTGTCTAAGCTCTTACTAGGCCATTGCCAACAGCATTCTAAGCAAACATTTTAGTTGAGTATTTCAATGCAACCAAAGTCTCTTGAAGCTCGACCAAGTAATAGTAAAAGCTTGTGAAACTTGAGTCATTCACAAGTCGAAATATGTCCCTCGGTATTCATTTACCATCATACAAATTGCAATTCTATCTTTATGGGGTCTATTATTACTAGTTTCGGAATATAGGAATTAGACAAAACCTCATAATAAGGTCCCTAACTGTGTGGAAATTCTACATTCCCCAATATGTGCCATAAATTACATAGCCTTTTTTTTGCAAATACATAAAATCCGTTTTAGGGGTAAGTCAAAGATTCTTTTTTTTTTGTTTGTTTATTTTTTAATAGTTTAGGGGGGATGGCCCTACCTTCAGTAGGAATTGAACTTAAAACATCATGTTGTCCTGATTCACCATCTTCGCCACCTAGCCTTCCTCACCACCTAGCCTTGAGCCCATTACTAGGGTCAGAGATATTTGAACCCAGGAAATGGGATGTCGTGCTGGCCAGGTGCACCTTTCCAAACTAGTATAGTCTAATTAACAGGAAAACGGATACGTCTGAATCCAAGATTGATCCAGATGGACAATCAATAGAAGCTAGGGTTAAGAATCTGAGATGCATGAGAGGAACGATGACGATTACAGAGAAACAACACCGGTCATCCTTCGACTAGGAGTCTGCTCGTTATGGGGCTACTGATGATACTCAAAACGCCGCAACCAGAAAATCTTGCTCCAAGACGTGTTTCTTTTAAAATCCCAGCCACTTCCCATATTCATCTACCATGGCAGAGTAATTTACATCTATAGTTGGAATTACTTTCAAAGGTACAATTTTCAACTTACCACTGTGCTTTACAAATACGTTAACATGCAACAATAATTCACCACATTCCTGAGAGAACATGGGCCTGACAGTTTCTAAATGTTGTGCTATTTTGCACATTGCAATGGTGTAAAAAGGCCAAGTAACAAAGCGTTCTCTTTTACCTATTCAGGTTGCGAACTGGGACCAGGATACAGGAGACTCAACATATTATACGATCACTCCCATTTTAATAGATATCTATAAACACGTATTTGTGCTTTTCGGATATAACCACAATTTATACACACATCGAACCATAACTGATAACAACCAGGAAAAAAACAAAAGGCAAAAACAAGGAATAAAATGGGAAAAACTATTTTCCTAAACGACAACTGCCTGAGTTAGTTGAGAAACTAAAGATATGATGGATTATATAATTGAGAAAACATGTTTCTGAGAAGCTAAAGTGTGATGGGCACTAAAGCCATAAAAAGGGGGGAAAAGGTGAGGAAAAACTCAGTTGAATTTCACCAAACAACTCTATAAACTATTCCTTTATTACCTTTAATATGAGTCCAGTTAAACTGAGGAAGAAGGTAAAGAAGGCAGAAAACCAAGGACAGATTCGAATGATTCAACCCAAGTGTAATTCGCGGAATGGCAGGCAGGCAGGCAGGCAGGCATACGCGTGTATTGATTCTTGAATGATTTAATATTTAAAGTTAGAGACGTCCGTCAAAGCATACAATACACTGCTCCTCCTTTCCGGAAATATTAAAAAAAACAGTCAAATAAAATCAAATAAAAAATTAAAATGCAGAGTAAGCCTTCAGGAATCCCACGTGCCCCCTCTAAAAGGAGAGCTCTGATACACGGGCATTGTACTTGCAATTCTCGAGCCCCCATAAATACCCATTTTTTTTTTTTAATTCTATTTCATATCAAGAGAAGAAGAAGAAGCGCTCTCTCTCATTTGGTTTGAACTTTAAAGCAGGAGCAGCAGTAAAGAGTATCTTATCAACCTGGGAGAGTTTTTACTGCAGTTTTATCTTTTCAGGTGGTTTTCAACGGATTCTTATTTACCTGAAGAGAAGAGTCGTACCGATCCGTTGCTTATTGAGTTGAGCTCCGATTCTATCCTCCTCAGAAACTCGGTTGCCTCTTGAATGGGTCTCGTTAGCTCCTCCCGGTATTTTACCAGCATGTCATAGTAAGCTTCCTGATAAAATTCAGAAAGAGAGAGGAAGGTTCACAAGTCTTCTAGAGAGAGAGACATGGGCTAGAGAGTTAATGAGGATCACTAACCATGAACTGGTCAAGTTCCGGATCGGATCCAGCAGCTCCAACGCTCGCTGACGAATGCTGCCGGGTTTCCAATTCCCGGCTTATGGCACTCAGTCTATCCACGACTTCTGGCGGCGCTCCGACCTATGACACCCATTAGATCAATAAGAGATAATAAATGTACTCCTCATAAGAGATAACATATTCAACTCTCTGAGAGAGTGCGACATGGGATTACGAAGAATAATAATTTAGCACAGGAAGTTGGGTCGAAAGAGAGTGATGGATTCTAGAAGGTCCATGTGTTCTAGAGATATAGAGAGAGAAAACCATGGAGTAATCCGAAAAACTTTGAAAGATATTTTAGCACAGAAAAGCTGAGAAAGATACATGAATATGGATTTTAAGAATAGGAAGGCCATTAGCCATTAGTATGCTAGTCGAGAGAGAGAGAGAAAGTGAGTGAGAGAGAGACTGTAACTTTCGGCTCGGCATGCCGGCCATAGAGAGAAAGAGAGAGCACAGTATGCTGAACGAAGAGAGAGAGACTGTATCTTTCGGCTTGGCATGCCGGCCATAGAGAGCAAGAGAGAGCATAGTATGGTGGGGGAAGAGAGAGAGAGAACAGTATTCTAACGGAGGGACATAAATCACCATGTATTGAGATACAAGCAAGATGGAAAATTGTAGAGAGAGAGAGGCATTGTACCCTTTGGCAATCCATATAGGCCTCTAAGAGGCTAGAATACTGGGGGTGAGCAACGATCTTAGCCTTGATAGCATTATCATCGTTGTTGGTGTTATTATTAGAGCCATTCTCCACCTCATGTGACTGCAACATCATCGCATAAACCCTAGGCGCCACCACCTCGCCCGGATGAGCCCTATAATGCTCAGATCTCACCACTCGATCGAACCCTGCTGGCTCGGCCTTCAAGCTTTGACTTGAGAGATGGAAAGACTGGGGGGATTGGCTTTCATGCCCTCTTAATAAATGAATGGGTAGAGGAGCCATGAGCCTTTGATGCAATTGTGGTTGTTGGTCTTGATTTTGGGTCATGAGAGCCATCATGGAAGTGGTGGTGGTATCTGGGCCATGACACTCCATGTTCTCACCACCATAGAAAGGAGAAGTTGTGTATATGAAAGCCCCTCTTCGGTTCTCGTTGTTCAATTGATGATGTTCCATTAACCCAATGGACCTAGAGAGAGAAAGAGTTGGGTGATATTATTCAGAATTGTGCACAATCACAGCCTCAAGGGAGGATTATAGAGAGACAAAGAAAGACTCCATGATTAAACCCAAACCCCAACAGGCGAGAAGACTCACTTCCATAAACAAACAACCCAAACCCCGAGAGGGGAGAGAGTGTACCTCTCTATGGATACTCCTCACCCAACAGAAGAGTGAGAAAACGAAGAAAGAAGGAGACTCGGATGAGACCCACACTTCCGATAAGCACTAGCACAATCTCCAAAAAAAACGAGAATTAAGAAAGAGTTTTCAGAATAGAACACCACCAAAAACCCCCAACAGAAGAGGGACTAGAAATCCCCATGTTTATACAGTTAAACCGTGTTCTACAGCTCGAGAGCGACTCTCTCACGGGGGGAGCCACCGGCCAAGAGATGGCGACCATAGTGGCCAACCCCTCACTGTACCTGTCCCCTCTACTTTTTTTTTCCCACTCTCTACCTACACATACCCTTCACTGTCCGCCTCTCTCTCCCTAACTTGACGATTGGCAACAGCGAAAGAATCATCGAAGTGGCCGGGAAAAGTGTTCAAAAACCCGCCACGCTCAAAAATATTCACGACTTGCCGGAAAAAGCTAAAAGCCAAAACAACCAGACCCCGGTTAAGAAACTCGCCAAGCTCAAAAACATTCACGACTTGCCGGAAAAAGCTAAAAGCCAAAACAACCAGACCCCGGTTTTCCCCCGAAGGAAATCGCGCACTCTGGAGAGAGACTAAATGTATCGCATTTGATTTCCCGTTTTGTAGTTCCCATCTCTTCACGAAAGCAGGATTCGACCCAGGTGATGCTGATGGCTCTCTCTCTTTCTAGAGAGGGGGAAAGTAAATAGTTAAAGATGAGGGGGGAGTAACCTAAAGATTAAGAACGTGTATATATTAATAAAATAAGAAGACAGAAGGTACCGAGTCCAAGTTTCCTTGGGGTGTAAAAATTAGTGTAGGGCAGTAGTTTTCAACGGGAAACAGTAGGGAAGAGAGAGAAGCGTATGGGAGATGTGCCTCACGTGTAGAGGACAGGACGGTGTGGCAGAGAGAGAGTGGGACGAGGAAGTTAAGTGTAGGGGCTGGCGGCGCGGTCCAATGAATGAGCGAGCAACGCCTCTCTCTCTCTCTAAAAGTATGAACCCCCGACATGCAGGGCCCGTCCCTTAATACTCCCGAGACCCTCGCGCCCCTCTTGGGACCCACACCCCATCCCCCTTCTGTCGCGCGGGAATCCGAGAAACGCCACTTTATCATATTTGTCATTTCTTACTATTTGGAGCTACGGTCCGCCCACCCATCATATTATTGTTTAGTTTGGTGAAAGTTGTGAGTGGAATAATTGAAAGTCAAAAACTATTGGGCAACATTACTGAAAGAACTGGGGAAGATTTATATCCAACAGATGCAAGTTTGGGAATTTTTATTATTTTCCGTTTGCTGTTTTTCTCCAATATGTCGTCAAAATGATATCTTTTAGATGGTTAGAAGTCCTTGGAATTTTGCCTATTAAGCTAAGTTGTAATAGTTTATTAGAAAAATATTAGTATTTTCTAGCACTAACAACTTATACTAAAAGCTCGTGGGCTACTGGTACTTTCAGAAATAAATTTTTTGCCAAGTATATTACCTTACGGGATATTATTATTTTTAAACACAATATCTCATTGAGTAAAACAATATTTCATATTATATGGAGATTTATGGTCTCGCATTTAGTATACCAGAATGGCGAATCTAGATTTGTCTAGCTGACTCCAATTAATTGGTAAAAAGTTATAATGATGATCTAATTGAATAAAATGCCATATAAAATATTACTTTAAGACTTAGAGTTCGGATAAAGTGTTTCAATTGTGAACACCTTAATGAGTAGTTTGGATCTTAGGGTATCTAAAATCATGTTTTTTATATCCAGGATATGCACGAAAACATGTTTGGTAACTTTTTTAAACACATGATCATGTTTTGATTAAGCAAAAAATAGGGCCAAAACATGTCTTTGTGTGTCCATGATGGAGAGAATACAATATAATACGACTGATGATAATGCTATTTTCGTACACTGGAGCTATCCAATTATTAAATGCAATTAATTCCACCAAAACATCCCCACAAATAACAGAGAGAAACTATCCCAAAAGTTTAAGATTTAGGTAGAGAAAATATCTTAAAACTTTAGAGAGAGCAACTATTCCAAATTTTAGATAGAGAAACTATTGAAATTTTTAGAGAAATAATCTCAAATTTTTAGAGATTATTTATTTCAAATTTCAAATTTTAGAGAGAGGAATTACTGGAATTTTTTTTTTTTTTTTTTTCCGCCAATATTTGGGGATATCGGGCCCTTACTCGTTTTATTAAAGAATAAAAAGATGTGTTACATGAACATTTCTTATACAACCCTTGGCAAGGGAACACTAGCAACGTCAGATAAATTGAAAGGCCCAAATCTGGTGGGCGAACACGCCACACTATTGCTTCATTCCAAAAGACAGTTGCTTTGGCCAAAGAATTTGCCGCCATGTTCCCTATAAACATATTGAATATTCTGTTGTTGATCAACAAAAATGGCATGCTTAGATATACTATTAGTCAATGTTAGCCACAATCTCCAAGTGGGCCTACAATGCTGACACATAGAATTAACAGGAAGCTTAGAGTCACTTTCTATGACAATAGTTATATAATTCAACTCCATTGCCAATGCAATATCCCTCTCAAGTGCATGGAGCTCAGCTCTATTATTCAAATTAGTTCCCAATGGAGCTCCCATTATGAATCCACCTTAACCATTCTTGATAATACCGCCATAACCAACATTACCCGGATTCTAAATAGATGCCCCATCAATGTTAAGCTTGAAAAAGCCTAAAGGATAAAGTAGCAATGCACCACCTGGATATGAACTTGAGGAAGAACCAAATTCCAATATATGTTGAGGTTGGAAGCTCATACTAAATTTAGATCGATGGAAGGCCCAATTTTTAACTTTTGCCAATGATTTAACCCAATGAAGAATGCACCTTAGGAGAAACTCCTTGGACGTATTTCCTCCATGTACCGAAGAATTTTGTTGCTTCCATATGCTCCAAATAGTAATGATGAACACACAGTTCCAAACAAATTTCATACTTGTGAATCAAAATTGAAATTTAACCCATTTGTCTATCAGGGACATTGTGGTATGCTCGAGGGGGAAACACTTCTCGAATCACTTCTGGATAGATGTCCATATAATATTCAAACATGAGCATCGCACCATGATGTGGTCTGAGAACTCCTCCTGTTGGGAACACAAGGGGAAAATGGAGGCTGAAGATAGGCCCCTTTATTGAAATAGTGACGAGGTTGATAACCGAGAGTACAAGGCTAACCAGGTAAAGTAACTTAAAATTTTAGAGATAGAAACTTCTTGGAAATTTTTAGAGATAGAAACTATCTCAAATTTCATGTTTTAAAGAAAGAAAGTATCTTAAAATTTTAGAAAATGAAACTATATCAAATTATAGAGAGAGCAACCATCTCAAAAATATTAGAGAAAGAAACTATCTCAAAATTTCAAGTTTTAGAGAAAGAAAGTATTTTAAAATATTAGACAGAGCAACTATCTCAAAATTTCAAGTTTTAGATAGAGAAAGTATCTTAAAATTTTAATTTTTAGAGAAAAAAATATATCAGAGAAAAACTACTAACGTTTTTTTTAGAGAGGCAAACTATCTCATATTCAAGTTTAAGAAGAGTAAGTATCTTAAAATTTTAGAGAGAGAAACTACCAAAAAAAATTTATAGAGATAAACTATGTCAAAATATTTAGAGAGACAAAGTATTTCAAATTTAAAGTTTTAGAAAGGGAGAGAGAGTCTTAAAGTTTTAGAGAGAGAAACAATTAGAACTTTTTTAGAAATAGACAATATCTCAAATTTTTAAAGAGAAACTATATGAAATTTCAAATTTTAGAGAGAGAAAGTATCTTAAAATTTTAGAGAGTAAAACTACATCAAATTTTAGAGGAGAAATTACCTAAAAAATTTTTAGACAGAGAAACCATCTAATATTTTAAAGAAAAATTATTTCAAATTTTAAGTTTTTAAAAAGGGAAAGTTTCTTAAAATTTTAGTTTGAGAAACTATATCAAATTTTAGAGAGAGAAAATACTTGAAAATTTATTGAGACATAAACTTTCTCAAAAATTTTTGAGAGAGAAATTATCAACTTTCTAAAATTTTAATTTTTTAGAGAGAGAAATTGTCATAAAGTTTTTAGAGACGGACTATCACAAACTTTTTAGAAAGAGAATCTATATCCAAAATTCAAGTTTGACATGTTCCATCTCTGTGTGCCTATTTCCAATTGTATTTGCCAAACATGGAAAAAAGCATGCTTAGGTGGTCGTTTCCTTTAAACTGTTTGAACATGTAAATATTTTTCATGTAAATATTTTCTTGTCAAACTTTCACGTGTACCAACAGACCCCTTATATCAAACAAGGTTATACAAAAAGATGATCCAAACATGTGATTTGCATAACCTTGGTATCACTCAAAGCCATCCAAACAAGTCGTGTTTGAATTACCGCGTTTCAACATTACCAAAGTTTGACATAATAAAGTTTTGATTCAAAACTAGGTGTTTTAACCCATAGACCCAAACGAGGCCTAACCCATAATTCCCAGGCCTCCCACTATCAACACCATTACGCACCAAGTAACTTTGTGAGAGAGTAGGAAGTTTTAATTTGATATCTCGTAGGTATTAATCCCCTGGTGATTTCATTTCCCAATATCTCGTTGTTGGTAGTTTTTGAGATATCAGTATTTCTTAATATCAATATCTCACTATATAAGTCACCTTTAGATATTGGTGTTTTACAATAACAACCAACACTTAAGTCCCCCTCCCATGAGATATTAGTATTTTTCCACCTAAACAATAGTTATATTACATTAGTGTCCTTTTTGTCAATGGAGGGGCAAAATTAGAAATTACCCAACTCCATCGATTTCTTACTTAACGGACGAGAAAATAGCACAAATGCCATCTTTAAATTGTTAAATAGTTAATTTCTTAGGTGCAATTTGGTATATATATTAAAAAAAAAAAAAAATTGTGGGTGAAATATTTATAGAAAAGTGATGTGATACAACCATTTTACTGTGTGTCAGCTTTGTCGTAGGATTTATTTCAATCTAATAGTTGATATAAGGAAAATTATGAAATATATCTTAATTTTCGTTTAATTGGAAAAAAAAAACTCTCAACTTTCATAATCCTCGTTCACGCTTTTTTTTTCTCAAATTTGATATATTTTTTTTACCAAAATAGCCCTCACAATAGACGTATTACCGTAATGACTACCGCATTATGGTACTTTATTATAGAGCATTCACTATAATACGACCACCGTTAAGGCTATTTTGGTAAAAAAACAATGTCAAAATTAAGAAAAAAAGTTGTGGGCGAAGTTTATGAAAGTTGAAAGTATTTTTCTTATTAGACAAAAATTAAGATATATTTGTGATAATTTCCCTTGATATAAGACACCAACAAATATTCTTTATTGTTATATTTGAAATGAAAGTTTCGAATTTTGAATTTTAAATCAAATTTGCCCGTGAATCCCTCTTTTTCGTGCTTCTGGTTGGTAATCTCTCTTTACTCGCCTCTAACCACTAGGATAACTTAAGGCCAGTCTCTCCCTCCACTGTGACCACCAAGAGCTCTCACTCTCTTAAATCCTAAGAGAGAGAGAGAGGAGGAAGGAGAGGGGAATAGGTCTAGTGAGTGAGAGAAGATGAAGCTTAGAGAGATAAATAGGAAGTAGATAACCACAAAGATATTCAATGGGCTCAACAAATTTACAAT